AACAAAGTGATGACTTGGAGGTGTTAGCTATGGGGTCTGGCTTGGTGCTGCTATGAGGTGTGAGCAGGGGCTTTAGTTGTTGACCTGGGGGACAGTACTGTGTCTTTTGGAGACCTTGGATTAATGCCTGGTTTAAAAGAGGAGGAGCACTGTTTTTGGCAAGAAGGCAGTCTGTATACCTTGTGTGTTGGGAGGGACGACAGCACATGGGGCAGACCCAAGTCCCGAAGCCCCAGGCTGACACATTGCTCTGATAGTCTGAGCCCTTGTTGAGCTGCTGCTGCTGCATCCCGGGCAGCGCCATGAGCCCAAGAGCAGCCCTGCCAGCAGGAGGGGGAAACAAGAGGTGCCTCATAAAGTCTGCCCAGAGTCCTGCAGGTGTGATTTGGAAAACTGAGGAGCTGCAAGAAGCAACATGTGAGGGTCCCAGTGGGTGCCAGCTGCCTCCTTTCAATGGCTGCTTACCCTGCACAGACAGAAACTCTTTTTTTGTCTATGCTTGGTGCAGTTTCTCGAGAGGGGTGCAGGGTCTGTGCCCCACAAAAAGGATGGGGCAGGAGGGGGATGCATTTGCCTCATGCTGCCTGGGTTGTAGCAGTGCCACAGGGCTCATCCCCACCCATGGGACCTCCCTGAGTTTCCCGTGCTGGCACCCCAGAACCAGCCTGCTTCAGGAAACACCCACTGTGTGTCCATCTTTGACCCTTTGGGATAAAATTCAAGGAAAATCTCAAAGATGAAATTGCTGTACGTGCAGGGTAGGTTGACCTTTCAGTATGTTATGCTCAGGCATCTTTGCTAGGAAAAGCACAGGGTGAAGTCTGTGACGGGCTGCCTGCCACTTCACTGTAGTGTATCAGGAGACAACAGACCCTTCCTCCTCACACACTCTGTTAATTGTCTGAAAATGGTACCAAAACACTGCTGCACCCCTTTTCTCTCCACCTACCCATCACCTTCCCCCCCCAGGGAGTAATAGTCAGATATAATGTTTTTGCAGTGAAGGTACATGTGAAACTTCACCCAGCACAGAAACCTTATTGTTTGCACTCTGCAGCGAAGGCTGGCAGGGAAGGACCCTGTAAGGGTAGGTGTGCTGCTGCCCATAGGTGTGCAGAGACCACCCCTGTCCTCGCCACCCACTCGTTCCCCACTGGGTGCTATGCCTGCCAGGCACCCAGGTCCCATCTGCCTGGACTGAGCAGAATGGGGTAGGGAGAGCACATGAAACCCTGCATTGCCCTTCTTTTGGTTTGTCCTTCTCGGTCTCTCCTTTATATATTCGTTTCATGTGTCTGTGTTTTCTCTCCTCTATGCTATGGCAGTGGTGCTCCATGCTGATGAGACAGTGCGTGGTACAACCGCAGGCAGTCATTTTTCAGGTAATTTCTAGGGTACTGAACACCCGCCTCTTGCTTTTTCACCTATTGTGCAGCAGCAGGTCAGGCTTCCTGCTGTTCAGGGAGTGAACCCTGGCCACGCCTGGCCATTCTGGGCTGCTCCTTGCTGGTGGCACTTCCAGCTCACCAGTGGAAGACCTAAATCTAAGACCCCTTCTGCTGCCTGTCCAAGTGGCTGGAGAGTCTCCTGGGGAGGGTTGGCAGGATGGTCTTAACTGGGGCTGTGAGGTGAGGGCTGCTCCATGAGTGCTGCCTGTGCTGGGGATTTCACCTACTGTCTGGACAGGGTGTCTGGAAGGACAAACTCAGCCTGAAGGGAGTCAGAAGAGGGAACACTGCTGTGCCCCTTGTGAGGGGGTGAACAGCTGGTGCTATGAACCCCCAGCACCAGCGAGGCTTGCTACTTCTTAAGGGGGTGCTGTGGCCCCGCAGCCCCTACACGGGGGGCAAGGAGGGCTGTGACCACAGACGTGGTGTGTTACAGGGGCTCGCTCCTCCACCAGGACTGTTGGAGGAGTTGGGAGGTGAGCTGGGAGCAGTGATAGTGGTGGGTCCATGGTGGTAGATGAATGCTCGCTGTGGCTGCTGGTGGGTCTGAGGAGGAATGCTGGCACCATTTTGCCATGGGAAGAGGGAAGCGGCTCAAAAAGAAGTTACTGGAGGTGCACTTCCAGTCTGCAGCAAGCTACTGGGACCAAAAGTGGGAGGGACCCCAACACTCCCATTTCTCACACCTCCATCTTCTGGAGCTCTGCAGCAATACTGCCCAGCTGTAAGCTCTCCATCCAAGCCATGGTGGGCAGCGTTACGCTTCCAGGCACTCTAGCCCACAGAAGTGGTTGCATGGTTAGGGGCTGTGCTGCTGTAGGCCGGTGAGATGGGCAGCGCTGCCTGCAGGAGGACTCTGCTGTTGCACATCCCTCCATTTCTCTGTGGTGGGGTAACATAGATGAGCATGGGTTACCACTGCCCTAGCGCCCAGTGGGGTGTGCTGCACCCTGATAGTTGCATGCTTCTGAGTGAAACAGATCAATACGTCCACACACACACGCTCATGGTTTGTTGACATTGTGCTTCCTGATCATTAACTTAAGAGGTGAGGCCTGGTCCCGCTTCCTCTGAAGTCAGTTCATCAGACCCCAGAAGGGAAGCAAACTGTGTTGTTTCAGCATCTGCTCTGGACTCCAGCATCTGTGGTTTGCAGGCAGGGTCTCAGTCTGGTCCTGGTTGGGTTTGTATGAGGAGCACTAGCCCCAGAATCCTGTTTTGGCAATGGCATTTGGACGTGCACCCTCTTCCCTGGCCCCGTGTGTGACCCAGCCTGTGGCACAGCTGGATGTTTCCTCCCAAACTACAAGTGGTCTGCTCCCTGTTTGTAACCTGGAAGTCACATTCACACCCTGCCTGTGGGGAGTGATGCATGGGTGTGCTGTGGGAAGATAGTCTGGATATGATGTGGTTATGGCTTTCTTAGAGCAGCGCAGGTGAAATAAGACATCTATGCAGGGGTTTTCCTTCAGTGCCTTTTCAGATTAGGGAGTGAAAAAACCCCATGGTGCTGTTGCACGTGCACATACCCAGTGGAAGGGGAAAGTGGGGTTGCAGGTGTAGGACATCATGGAGTGGCGTGGGAAGGCTGAAGAGCAATGTACATTGGCAGATCCTGGAATGAGGAGTTCCGGTTGGACCTGCAGGAAGGAGGAAGGCTGAGACCATCGCTGATGTCCACTACAGAGGAAGGATGCTCAAGGGGCTGTCCTCCCCAGAGTGCAGAAGTGGGGCTGAAGCAGAGCTGTGATTGCACACGTCTTCGAAGTAGTGGTGGTAGAGAAAAAGGGGTTGGGGGCATGAAGGTAAGGGAAATGTGAGGGCATGGAGAGTGTTGGAGGAGGAATAAGCTGAAAGGGCTTAGAAGCAGGAGGATTTTAATGAGAAGGTTAGGGGTGACCATAAGAGACAGCCTAGAACTGGGAGGGGCTATCCCCCATGTCTCCCAGCACTGCAATAAAGAATACCTACCTGCTTGTCAACTTGAAAACCTTGTTGGCAAGTTTGTTCCTGGGATTTTCTCTGAATCATTGGGCAGCCTTCAGCCCAGAAGGCCCTGACTTGCTGATCCATGGGCCAGGTGAAGGGACAGGGTAGCCAGCCACAATGAATGGCAAAATCTATGCGACACGCTTACCTGCAAGAGGTTTGCATGGGGGATCCTTCAGGGTGACAGAGCATACTCATGCCTCACACAAATTGCGTGCACAGAAGAAACGTGTAGTAACACAGACCTGCTAATTTGGGGTTATCCTTGTAAATTAACTTCTGTTTGAGGGAGAACTGAACATCAGAGTCACAAACAAATATATCTGATCCAAAGTAGTGAGCTTGTGCAAATACCAGTGTGTGCTGGCTTCTTGGACATGTCTGAGAAACTCTCAAGTGGGAGAAAGATGCGTTCACTCAGATCAGCTTCTGTTTTCTTAAAAACAATAAAAAAAAAAAAAAAAAAAAGGAAAACTCTTAACTTTTTTATTTGGTCACTCAAAAAAAATCACACAGTTCTGGGCTCTTCTATGTTGCTTAAGTTCTGCACAGCTTCTGCATTGACTTAGTCTGCAGAAATACAGCAGGGATCAACCTTGGAGTGTTGTTCTTCAGTTTGTCTGTTTCTATTGCTGTTCTTCACTTGAAGTTGTCATCCTCCAGTTGTTATGGGCATGATTACAATCTCACAAATAAAGGTTAAAACTTATAGTGAAAATAACAGCAAGGAAGGGAGAACTTTGAAAGGAAACTTCCCACTTCCATGTGAATGATCTCGACAATAAGAAATAATTAAAAAAGGCAAATGGAGGTAATCTGTCTGCAGAGTACATGTAAGTCCTTATGGATGTGTGGATCGGCCTCACCTGCTGTAGATTGCCATGGCTACATGGAATTCTACTGGTTTATGGGACAGAAACAATCTGACTTCTGAGGATCTGCACTTTTCCTATAGCTTTAATGAGATTAAGAAGTTCCCATGAGATGAGAAAGCATCCTTACAACAGTCAGGTGATTTATTTTCAAATAATTTAGATTTAGAAACAGTTGGCTAAAAATCCTTCCCCTAAGCAGACACTTTTATTTATGTGCATTTTATTTCTTGTGAGATGATGGGACACAACGTTCCCAAGAGAAGAGGGGAAATGGGATGCTCTGTTCCCACCTGCTCATCAGTGTGTGTCTCTTCAGGTGACGCCACTGAAATACGGGTTAGCTGGCACTGGCATGAGCATTTTCCTCTAACAAGCAAGTAACTGCAGTTACAGCCCCCAGTTACTCTACAAAATTTCTTCTTTAAGGAAAGCCTTGATACATATTGATCAGTTTGGCTTTGGTTTGATAAAACCTGTTTTGCTGTTCTCTGAGAACATCCGTGATAAGCACAGACCCACTTAGTGAGTAATTTGGAGGCTTAACATCCCCGTGTAAATGGGTATTGCCTTTAAAACTGACTGAACAAAGGATTTTTGAGTTGCATTTCATCTACTTTTTGTCATACAGGCAAGAGTTCCTGAATAGTACATTTATTATCACTAAAATGCCTTTTGTTTCTTTTTCCAGGCAACTGAATATTCAGCCATGGCATCACTAGCTGGTGGATTAGATGACATGAAAACCAATATAACCAGTCCTACTTCTGCAGATCTGGGAGCAAATGTTCCCGGGCCTCAGTCATACCCTATCGTCACAGGTAAGCAATTTCCCAACACCAGTCAGTGATGTGAAGTGTGTGCACGTTGCAGAGTGGTGCCCTTCACGGAGTAATTGTGTCAGATGTGGAGACGTTTGCTCAGAAATCTCTTTTAAGGTGTGATTTCATAGCAGCTCTGCATGGTTTGTATGAATCAGGACTTTTCACTGGGAGCCAACAGATAAAGCATCCATCCGCCTTGTCTAGGAAGAGATGCGCACCTCCACCCCAAACCTGCATGCTGAAAAGCAGAATGCTTGCCTCCGCTGTTGGGCTTTGTTGCTCATTTTTCATAAAGGTGCCTGGTATATTTAACTGGATAGAGTTTTTATGGCAGTTCATACTAGCCTGAATTTTAAATGCTTTTTATTCCTGTAAATGCTTGCGTTTTATACCACATTTGGAATTGCAGTTGTGCAGTAAGGCTGAGTATTTAAATGAAAAGCAAAATTGTTCAGGGATTGCAGCATCATCTGCATTTATTTAGCAGGCATAGGGTGAAAGTTAAGGAACAGATAGAATTTGATAAATGCTTTGGTCACCTAGTTATTTGGGACTGGCCATACTGTTTGGAAGGAAACTGCCCAAATGGTAAGAAAATGATGAAATTGTATCCCGAATGAATTGTACGAAGTCAGAAAAAAAGGGATTTTAAAATTTAAGGCTCTTATGTTTTGTGTGCATGTTACCTCTGTATGTTACTTCTGTCCTTGTGTCTAATCTGTGCAGATTTCATCACTGGATTTTTCTCTGTTTTGACAAAGAATGGATTTACTTCTTTATTTTGTTGCTGAAGGGAAGGTGACGCTGTTTTTAGTATAGTATTATTGTATCTTGAAAGTGCTACAATCTCATCTAGCGGGAGAGCAGTTTTGAAAACTAATGTCACAAAATTGTTTTAACCCAATATGGCGTCAGTCTTTGGCGCTTCTTGCCAAAAGTTTAGGAATATTCTAAAACAGTTAGAGGATTCCTTAAGGAAATCCATGTTTACCTTGATGTGCAAGGGGAGGGACTTGTTGAAATAACTGGTACTGAGTTGGTGGTTTGGGCGTTGGACTCATAGGTAAGGAAGGTGTCTAGGGATGGGTGGATGGACAGAAAGGGATTTCTGGACATGTGTGGCTTATAACAGGTAGGGAAATAGAGCATGGATAGACAGATATAGAATCATAGAGTAGAGGGAAACTAAAACTAATATGAAAGAAGCAACGTGAATCACCATGTTTGCGGTAATAAGCCACCTCTACAGTGTATGAAAGTTAGAAATGTCTCCTAAGGCAAATTATTCTGTAACTGTTTGCTGCAGGAGTTTCTTCGTCTTAAAACCCTGAAGTCCTGCTTATTACAAAAGACATGGGCTGCCTTGGCACATCGTGGGTGTTCTGTTGCCCTTTTTTGATCTTCTGGGTGGTTGTCTCTTGTTTGTCCAAGTCTGTGTCCCTGTGACAAGCCTGATGCCCTGTCAGAGGTGTCTGTGCTCTGCTGGTGAGTACAGCCCAGCAGCATCTTGGACTGCACAAGTGGGTGCTGTGGGCATTGCTGTCTCTCTTCTGTCTTCTTCTGAGGAGCTGCCTATCCAAGTTCTGCACCTGGCGGAAGGAAGCTCAGCCTAGAGCTGTTGTTTTCATTTGATACTTCAGCAGCCCATGTTTTTTTATGCTGGTTTAAGTAATTCTCATGCTTCACATGTTACTACTTCCTTAGAGTTTGGTGAGCTGACTGATGGTGTTTGTTAGAGCAAAACTGACCACAGCAGTGATGCTGCAGAGCTCAAAACAGATTTTGTGTAGGTTTTCCCTGTGATGTTAGCTACACTTGAGCAGAAGTTTCAAATGTTAAATTTACTAGTTCTCACAAAAATGCGGAGCAGGCTTTATGAGTATCACATCTAGAAAAAAATCCTGCCATTGGTCTTAAATGTGACATAGTGAGAGCTGTAACAGAACACATTTTTCAAATCACTAGCTATTATATCTTTGATATTGTGTAGAGTTTTCTAACACCTGCATTCATAAAATGTAGATTTACATGAGTATATTGTCTTAATGAAAATGACATGCTTTTAAAACCTTCTAAAACCCTTACCTTTTGATATATTTTGGGGGGAGAATGTCTAACTGTAATCCTCCTTTTTCGTTACACCTACAGTAGCTCTTTTGTGCTGTTTGTGCTCTGGTAATGCCCAGAAGCCTTGGGCAGCATCTGGGCCCTGTAGTGCTGGGCACGTACTGTATGTCAAAGTTGTGCTCTCTGCCCTGAGACCTTCCTTAGGAGTCAACAGGATGTGAAGGCTTTTGGGAGCAGGAAGATTTAAGCAGCAAGCCATACTTCCTAATGTGCAAAGCCTGTAAGTTGCATCACACTTAGTGATGCATTTCTTGCCACAGGTCTGGACAGACTTCTCCATTTTCTCCCCAGAATTAACCCATTTTTTCAGTCTTGGTTCTTTCTGCAGCCCATTTCCTTGATGGGACAGGGGATTCATTTATTGACTTTTTTTCCCTTGTAAAGAAAAGCTGCATATTGCTATGGGCCTTTAATCTGTTGCAAATGAAAGGGAATCTGTTGCAGATATCAGTGAAAATCAGGAGGAACTGGGCAGTGATACATAGCAGTGGTTATGAGTGTGAGGTCAAATAAACGTCTGTTAACACATCATGTACTCTCCTTTCTGGGAACTTTGTTGTCTGTGGTCTGACCAATGTTACGATAAAATTCATCAGTTAGGTATTCCTAAACTGGGGTTGGGTTGGCTGTGTGTGGGTAGGTGAGAGATAAGGCAGGCAACCCCTGGAAGATTGTTAGCTTTGTATAATCCCTCTTTGGTGGTCTGACACTGGCTCATGAGAGGAGTCTTGCCAGCGCCAGTTCCTGGACCCCACCCCTTGTCCCCCAGGCAAGAGCCTGAGACTTGGAGATCATGATGGCATTTCTCCTGTGAACTGCTCCCTGTAAGAGGAGGAATGGCTAACCTGAACTCCAGTCTTTTCTTGAGATTCAGGAAATTGGGTTGCTTTTAATTGCTACATCCTTTTCTGTGTGTTTTCACTCCTGCTCCAGACAGGCTGTCCTGTGGTGTATCAAGCAAACTCAGAGCAGGAAACGGAAAGCTTTGGGACACAACTTGATTAAGTCATGCTAGGTAATGTGTTTTCAGCTGTAAAAGTGATGGGTGGCTGGTTAAAGGTCCACAAAATGTCCAAAGTCTGTGTCTGGTGGTGCTAATGCCTTGAGAGGTTGATCTCACTTCTCAACTGTCCAGATCATAAACACTTTTGTAACAGCTTCACTGCCATGAGACCAAGAGCAGCTGGAATGTGAGTTGCAGTATTCAGAACAGTCTATTGGCGGGACATGCTGTTTGTAGAAGGAGCTCTTCCAATGTGTGGAAGCACAGCTGTGAATGTGTGATTGCTTGATGCTTCCACACTGTGTGGGGCTATTGGTGGGCATAGGGCTGAAAAGCCACATTTGTGTGGATAAAGAGCTTGAAATATGACATACAGGATTTTGATTCGGGAACACTTATGTCCTATAGATAGCTGGTATCTGCCATTAAAGCTTAATCAGTTTTTATGAGCAAGTCTGCAGACTTTCTGGGGTGCTGTATGTGAAGAGACTTAAGTCTAGTTTGTCTTGTCAGTCTGTAAGACAGATGGTAGAAGAAGTTAATGCAAATAAAGCTGAAAATGGATGTTTTTAGTAACTTATCACAGTCTTCCATTGTTCTTGTTGCCTGGCTGTAGTGTGGATAGTAAAACAATGTTGAGTGTTGAGATGCAAAAGATCCTCTGTGCAGTTGTTGCTAGAAAATGTAAAATTTCTGTTTCTTAGCAAGCTGGTAGATGGGATATTTCATGAAGATGAAAGATGAACTGGCATTCATGCCACTACTTGCTGACAGAATATGTCTAAGGAAAAATTTAGTGACAATTCTCAGTACTGCTTCATCCACTAACTCTATTGTGTTATGGACCACCAGCCAAACCTTTGATTAGAGAACCACTCAATTTCTCTTCATCCTTTTTAAATGCCACATTAAATATGAAGTCTAAACCAACCCATCCTTCTCTTACTGTTTGCTGCCACGATCCGTAAGTGCTCTTTGCATTTACAAGCCAATGACATGTGCCCAGCTCATTAATGCTGTAGTCAGCAGTTTCCAAGCAGCCTGTGATTGTTACTAATTACCTGCAGATGCACTTTCCCTGCTCCGGCTTTCTCATTTCAGCATGGTCAGTATCACTTTGGGAGGACAAAGTCGTGCTAACCTGACACCTTCGCTTGGCAGATTGACAGACCTGCAGGCAGCTCTGGCTGCAAAGTCAGTTTGCATTAGCAAAGCCAGAAGGTACTGTTGGCCAGCCTCAGTCTGCAGCCAGTGAAGCATGTTTCCCTGTAGTGGCAACGTCATGAACTCTGTATTGCTCATTAAAAGAAGCAGCACAGAGCAAAGCTTTGGCAGTGGACTTCTTTCATGTTCTACAGCACCAGCAGATGTTGGAGTTGAGGAGCCTGGTCTTCTCCTCTGTTGGGACATCTCCATCACCCTTTGCTTGTCTGCTCTTCCTTATCAATGCCAGGACACTCTCCAGTGTGGTGGCTTCCAGCCTGATTAGAACATCCCATTGCAGCTGTGCTGATGAGCAGGTTGCAGTGCTTTTTGCAGCTTGCACACCCACACAGGGAGAGGCTGAGATTCTGCCAGATGCAGACAGGTTGTTCCTTGTAGCCACACCACACAAGGAATATAACCATATGTGCTCCTTTGTGGGATGTGCCTTGGAGACAATGGCCCCATAAAGTCAAATGCATTGGCTTTCCTGTATGTTTCATATGCACATCAAAAGGTGAGAAGAAACAGAATAAAACCAGGAGCAGAGTGAGTTTGTCATCTGGAGGGATGGAGAAGGAGGGACATTCTCAAGGGCTATCCTCTCAGTTACCTGGCTTGCATTGCTGGACTAAGTCACCAGACATAAATAATCTGAGACTGA